AAACTAAGCATTAAAGGATACGAAACAAGTTAAATACTAAAGAACGAAATAACGAGTTCCCATAAACTCCAGTCAAAAGTCTATCAACTAAACAAATGCGGAAGTAACACCTAGAACCTGAAAGTCAATGTATCAAAACATCTAAAGTTCAACAAGTCTAAACAAGAAGGGATACAACCCCAAACTAATGCACTAATAACTAACTAGAAAGTCTAAGTCTGAAATGGTGGACATAGACGAAAGAGAACTCATGGCAGCCCGGAAGAATTGACTCACTCTTGAATTCGAACGATCACTGATCTTCTAAACGAGGTTTGTCAATAGCCGCCGGCAGTGGCGAATTTACAGCCAAAAAATAGGGCACCCGCACCCGTGGTCTCTTCGTAAAATTAGATATTTTATATGTATATTTTTTAAGATTTTGTATAATATTATATTCTTGCACCCGTACTACAAGAAGTTTAAATGGTCCACATGGTTAGATGTTGAGCTTTTGACCTTGAGGATTAAGGAACAATTCTCACTTCAATACATTTTACTTGGTGCACCCATGTTCGAAAAATCTTAGATTCGCCTCTGGCCGCCGGAAGATGCCCTGTACTCAACAAAAATAAGAGCAAGTGCAGTATCAGTACACAACCACAATGTACTGGTAGGATCACACGCCTATCCCACTAAGTGTAACATAAGTAAGTCAATACATCATTATAATCACATGCATATATCGAACATATACAATATCATCAACATTTACGAACAACGAACAACTTTACATTTCTCAAAATACATAATTATGACAAGTCATTGGTCCTCTCATGGAACCCGAACAGTTAGCATACCGGAACGTGGTACCTGATCCAATGATTAAGCTGGAACATGGCAACCGATCTCATAATTATGCCGGAACGTGACAACCGATCCAAGTTAGTTATGCCGGAACGTGGCAACCGATCCATTCAACACACCACAATCACAATCACAAGTATATCCTCAACATCATACAACTAGGTTATGATTTCATGGTAACCATCATTCATCTATCTCATTTACAACAAGTATGATCAATAATGCAACATTCATATACATACATGTATCATAATGAAGCAAGAACAAACATACATCACCAATCATAGAATCACAACTATCACCTACCTCGAAACAATCTTGAAACCCTATATCGTACCCATGATCCCAAGTATCCAAAATAGGGACTTTTTCACCACGGTTTCCAATTCAAAACCCTACCCATTGATAATTATCCATTCTATTACGTTTTACGGATCGAAAAATGGATTTGGGGAGTTAAAAGCTTACATTTAGCCTCAAGAATGGCGAAAAACGGTCAAGAACTCGTATGGAGTCGTCTCCTAGCTCTCAAAGTCGAAAAGTGCAGAATGAAGTCGTTTTGGGATTTATTTACGACCTTAAGTCACGTCGAACCCACCATAGCGGCCCTCACCCCGCTACAGCGGCCCCGCCCTGGCAACAGAAATCTCGCCTCAGCGGCTTGCATGGAACCAGTGAGCTATTTTAATAATTCCAAGACCCCCATTTCACAACACACCTTTAACCAACGACGCTCAAAAATACCGTTCACGCTAAGATCGATTCCGGGAGTTCTACTCACCTGAATTCAATTCCGTAAAGTCGTACAGATTCCTTAACGACTTATCAAACTACTCATGTAATCAAAATCATAATTAAAACACCCGATTGCTATCAGATTTTCCTACCCCTCAACGACTCCGATTTCGTCCAAATCTGGACTAGGTTGGGAAATTCCAAGTTACTATGGAAAAATTTTCCGACCCAAAATTTTTTCCCGTTTGCTTTTCTATAACGACGGAACCCGATCGTTACAAATAGAAACAAAACTCATGTAATTAAAATTTTTCTAAGACATCATTACTTAAGACTAAATTATGAATGATACAAAATGTAATTAATATTTCAAATTGAAAAATTATTTTTTTAATAGTCTACAATTTATTTGAATTCATGATTATTTTCTTATTTATAAAAAAAATCTATTTTATCTTCAATATTAAGTTGAAGTCATTGAATTTGAGTTCTAATTAGACTAATAATGTATATTTCAATCACACTTGTTTGCCCTTATCATTTTAAACTAGTAATGTTTATATTTTTCTTGATCAACTAGTTTGTTATAAAAAGAAATGTGTAACACATTATATAGAACTAGATATTATAAAGTCGATTCAAGCTCGATTTGAACTCGATTATATTTTGGCAAAGCTCAATTAAGCTTGACTTGATTTTATAAGAAGTTTTATTGAGTTTGGATTAATGTCCAAAATTACTTGTAGATTTGGTAAAATAGGTCAAGGGTTTGATCTCCTTCCCCGATCAAGTTGTTAAAGTCTCTTTGTATTGTTTTTTCTTTCTTTCTTATCTTTTTCTATTTTGCCCTCTTTTCTCGGTGCCTTTAGTCTCTTTTTCCCCCTTCAAATTAGGGATAGAAAGAGGGAATTACAAGATGGAGGACTTAATCTTCACCAATAATAAAAGTTTAGTCATTCAATTGAGTTACTGAGATTATCCTCTTGGTGGTATTTTTTTGTTACCCTCTTGTTGCCTTTACTTTGTTTTTTTTTTTCTTTTTTCCTGTTCTAATTCTAATTGTTATTTTTCTTTTCAATTCTGGTTCATCCTTTTAAGTTCCAAAATTCTTTTTTTTTTCCTTTCTTCTTTGATTCCCATTTTTGCTGCTTCTCTCTATCTCTCTTTGTTTTTAATCACTTCTTTCTTTGGTGTTCCTTTTTTTGTCATTTCTTTTTTAGAAAATTTCAGAAATAGTAAAGATAATAAACATAATAAGGCTATATAACTATAATTTTGTTTGCTATGGAGTTTGTGTTTTGTATATTTCGCTTGCTGTATATTTCGCTCGTGAATATACAAACAGGGTAAGTATGTGCAAATGGAGTTTACAATTTGTATATTTCGCTTGCGAATATACAAACAAGGTAAGTATATACAAATTATGTATTTATACATTTAGGATTTTTTAGAACTCCGTTTGTATATTTCGCTTGTCAATATACAAACAAGGTAATTTATATGAATTTTCATAAATCGTATACAAATATATATAGCTAGGGTAAGCATATATACAAATTCTGGATTTATACAATCAAGAATCAAATTATACAAATATTCTAGATTTATATAATCAGAGACCGAATTATACAAATTCTGGATTTATACAATTAGGAAATCGAAAAGCAAAATTTCGTGAAACTATAGCCACATATTAAAAATAATCAAAATTATAACTATATTACATAATATACTCAAGATGTCTATCATTTCGAGTAATTTCCCTTTACTTTGTTTCCCTTTTCGGTTCACTATTAATTAGAGTTTCAAAATTCCAAAAATTATTTTCTATCCCCCCCCCCCCAAAAAAAAAAAAAAAAACTTTTATCATTTTTTCTTTAATTTGTAAAGTGAATTCAATTTAAATAAATATAAATATTGACTGCTTATAAAGTATTGTAAACTCTTTAAGAACAATTATAAATCTTCTAAAATTTTAAAATATTTTTATGATAATTTAATTATAACTTGCTCAGAAATCATTATCATGGCAATTGACAAAATCTCATGGAACCAAATCAAACGATAATAAAATACACTCATATATACTTTTACATTTACAATCTGAATACGCCTCAATATTCAACTATTCTTCTTAGGATATGGATGCAACATATTCGTCTTAATAGCTAGCTTGCATATATAAGACATTGAATCTGCCAAACACAGGCCTTATAGTCAGCATGGGATATACTCTAGTTATAGCCTATCCAAATTACAAGTGGTTTATGTACTATTCCTATATGTCTTGCAACTTTTGTCCAACGATCATTTCACATATATTCGAAAACTCGTTCAACGCAATTAAAAATAGTTGATTAATTATTATTTTTAGATTTAATCAATTTTAATTTCTTTATGAAATGTGTAAAAAAAATATAACAAGTAAAATGGATCGAAGAGTACTCTGATAAAGTCATCAACTATATATGTAATATGGCCATGTGTTTGTGACTTATAATTAATTATAAATAAAATATAATTGGGTGCGTAACTATTAGTACTACTTTTCATTTTTTTCATATTGAAAGTCATAATAAGAACGAAGTTTCAACTCTAACCCACCAATGTTCAAATAAGACTGAGCACTTTACCAACTTGTGATTTGTTTTACTCGTCCCAATTATAATACAATATCTCTTCTTTTTTTCCTTCCTAATTGATGGGATAATTAATTAATAGTACGATATTTGGTATCACGTCTATTATTCTTGTGTAGCTCATTTGAAAAGCAAACAAATAGGGTAAGTAGTCAACTTTGAGGTATTGCCCAGAAAATCAAACACCGCAAATTATATTAAAATTTGGACATATAAGGAGATTAGAGGGGCTAAATATAAGCAGAAACTGAATTTAACACTGTTATTTTAAATCACAAGTCATACATAAGAGACTAATAGTTGTTAGGTAGCTGATTTGAAGTTATAAAGCTATGCATTTATTAAATTCGCATAAATAATACCACATTTAATAGTTGATTAGAAGGTAAATTATATTTTTCATGTATAAAATTAATACAATATTTGATTTGCACTTTAGAAACGTGCATACCTAAGTCATGAGAAAATCTATTTATTATTTTATATAAGATGAAAAATAAAAAAATTAATCCCTGAATAATTAATATTTACGTAAAATACATATTTTCAATGTATTGACGTAAAGCCCCACTAGGTCGCCAGGATTTCATCGAGACGGTTCAAAGGTATACAGTAATAAAATATTATAAAATGGCAATTGGATAAAATATAAAAAGACTTTGTCAACAACCCAAACGACATGTATAATGGGTTAGCAGCCATCGAGATTATGTCATGACTAAAAGTGTACAAGGAATTTATGTGTATAAATAAAGCATATTTCACCTAAACTTATGAATCCAAGCCAATAATTAAGTTGTTATTCTTTTTCCTCAGTCATAAAACTTAGAACATTATGGGTAGAATTTTCGTAGCTGCACTAACTTTATTAGTAACCCTTCAAGTTTTACATGTTCCTATAGCTTTTGCTGCTACAACAGGAAAGAAACTAACAATTTTGAGCATCGATGGAGGTGGTATCAGAGGAATTATTCCTGGCACCCTTCTTGCTTTCCTTGAATCCAAACTTCAGGTACTCATCAATCACGCTTTAATTATCTACATGCCACAATAATGGTAATACTCAGTAACAGAGTCAGAATTTAAACACACCTATGCTATGAATTTTGAACTGAGAGAATTTCACACATTTACATAAGATTCAACCTGAATTAGTACTACTTTGCATCTCATATATTTATATAAAATTTGATTTCGAAGCATTGATTATCGATTTTTATTAATTATTGGACATGGACATGCCTTTGTTACTATTTTGACCTTTTAAATCTAAGTTGATTAATTTGTGATGGTTATTGTAGGAACTTGATGGACCAAATGCAAGAATTGCGGATTATTTTGATGTGGTAGCTGGAACGAGCACAGGTGGATTAATAGCCACCATGCTAACAGCTCCAAACAAAGATAATCGTCCTTTATATGCAGCAAAAAATATTACAAATTTCTACATGGATCATGGCCCTAAAATCTTCCCTGAGAGCAGGTTGGATGAGTAATTAATAATTCAGTGTGTTATTTTTTTTTCCTGAAGACAAAAAAATATTGATGACAAATTATATGTTTATATATATGTTATTAATGCAGTCGCAGCAGCTTCTTGAAAAGGCTAACAAATATATTTGGGGGACCAAAATATGATGGAAAATATCTGAAAACGTTGGTTAGGTCGATATTAGGCAATCTTACTGTGACGCAAGCATTGACTCAATTAGTCATCCCATCTTTTGATATCAAGCGCCTTCAAGCCGTCGTCTTCACAACTAGTGATGTATGATCTACACCTAAATAAATTTCAATATATATATATGAACCGATCGTAATAAACTATTGTACTCTATAACTCATATGATGATATGATCAGTATACAAAACTTAAACTCATTTGTATAATTTATATTCGTTGTACAGGCCAAAGCACATGTCTCTAAGGATGCTTTACTATCGGACGTCTGCCTTGGTACCTCAGCAGCACCAACTTATTTCCCTGTACATTATTTCGAGACAAAGGATTCTCAAGGCAAAACACGTACATTTGATCTTGTTGACGGAGGTGTAGCTGCAAATAATCCCGTGAGTAACTAGCCACCATTAGATTTTAATTAACATTAATAAAATTTCTTTGTCGAATAATTTTACTAGAACAATTGACCAAATTCGATCAATATATATATTTGCAGACTCTAGTGGCAATTACTCAAACTTCGAAAGAAATCATGTTGGGTAAATTGCGAAACGCGAACTTGAAACCCATGGACTGCAAGAAAATGTTGGTTCTGTCACTAGGCACAGGTATAGCAAAGGATGAAAAGAAGTATAGCGCGGCGGCGGCTTCAACGTGGGGTGTACTTGGTTGGTTGTACAACAATGGTGCAAGTCCATTGCTAGACGTTTTTGGTGATGCAAGTGCTGATATTGTCGATGTGCACCTCTCTACCATATTTCAGTCCCTTGAGAGCGAAAAGAATTATCTTCGAATTCAGGTACCAAATTTGATCATTTAACTTGGAATTGTAACTATTTTATTTTTCTCATGCAGAGCGGTGGAGCCAAAATTTTACTAGAGCTACAAAATATAAGACAAGTAAATACACCAAGTTAAAAAACATATATTATATATACATAAAAAAAATATTATTTTTATCTTATATATATACGGTATAATTTTTTGAAATAAGAAGTTTTGGTTCACATTTTTGTATGAGGGTGTCTATATCAACTTGTGTAGTTAATTTTAGATATAGTCATCAAAGTTTATTCAATTTAACAATACAAATTATAAAATTGTATTTTAACATTTTAAAATAATTTAATTTTACTTACTATAAAGTTACTAAATTTTACACATCGTAACAGAAAAGTTACAAATTAAGTCATCTTTTGTCACATCTAATTAGTTACATCTTATCTACTACTAGTATATAGTAATATAATAGCTAGTTGTCACAAACTCACAATACGTTACCTGCTATAACTACAAAACATATTCATCATAGTGATTTATTGTTGTACTAGGTAAAGTTTATTATATATAGCAAGTAAAGTTCGGTTATTTTAAGGCAGAGCGCAAAATAAATTGCCAGTTAAAATTACATTATTATAACCTAAATTTCGACGATAAACTTGCTTCATGTTGATTTTTTACAAAAATATGTGTAGGATGATAGTTTGAGTGGGGAGGCTGCATCTATGGATGTTGCAACGAGAAAGAACATGGAGGCACTTGTGCAAATTGGTAATGATCGATTGAAGAAGGCTGTTTCAAGGGTTAATTTAGACACTGGCCGCTATGAAGAAGTTACTGGCGAAGGGACCAATGAAGAAGCTCTTATTCGCTTTGCTAAGTTGCTTTCAGAGCAAAGAAAAATTAGGCAACCACTTGACGACTTCTCTTCCACAAGAAAAATACTCTAAGAATTTTTTCTACCAATAAGAGAAAACTCTTAATAAATTATCTCAATAATATTTATTAAGCACTAATAATTATCAAATATTTTCAATTGTTAGTAATGCCCACTAAGTAGAGGATTTTCTCATTGGTTGGTCACTTTCAATACATTTTAGTTGCATAAAATTCATGTATTCTAGTTGACTTGGTACTAGTTTTGTGATTGTTAATTCAAGTTTGACTTTAAGAATTTGATTATAGCTTTGTGTCATGTTCTTAAACATTATCTATTACATCTTCAATTTGAAATCTCTACTATTCAATATAGATATCTTGTTAGCCTACAAACTTTTACAAAATTAAATAAATTTTGACATTGTTTTTTTTTTCCGTCAATCGAACATATTTTATTAGAATCTCTCGAACTTAAGGTCTTCGGGGAGCCAAAAAGTCCAAAAAGAAAAGTATGCATTGTCTCCATTTGTGCTATTAAATATTTTTAAAAACGAGACAATTTGTTTTTATGTTGAAACTTTATGTCATGGAATCAGTATATGTTAGTACAACTCAACTAGCGGATCCGGGATTGTCTTTAAGGAGTGTCAATGGTTGTAGTAAACAATATAATTATGAGGCCAATAGGGCTATAACACACAACCTCAAGGAAGTTTTCTAACGCCTTAACCACTGGACTAAACATTTAACTTGTGTCAAGAGGTGTCAATACTTAAATATATATATATATATATATATATATATATATATATATATAAAACTAAAATTTAACCTCAATATAATTTTCTGACCGGCTCGACTACATATGTTAAAACTTTTCAACATTCACAAACTCAATTCACTAAACTGCGAACCCCTTCCCCTAATACTAGAGGATGAAAATAAAATATCAGGTGAAAGTTTACTTGTTAAAGGCAAACCAAGCCCATTATAAGACTCCCAAATCTCTTTGTAATGTGTACTTTGTTTGATATACAGTGTGTCAAAAATTATGTATCTGTAATCTTGTCTCACTTGCATGCTCACCAATTGCGGTTTGATCACCTTGTGATTTCAAATTAATTTATTTCTGGTCATCCATACATAATAGATTATTGTTGCCAGGATTGCTTATAGGGATGCCCAGCTTATTTCATTAATATCCACTATGAATTGAGTAGTTTCTATTTGGTTTGAGCATTCTTCCAAATATAGATTTAGTAAGAAAATTAAACACAATTAATAAATAACAATATATAGAAATATTAACCTAACTTTGTTTCATGAATAGATTACAACAAAACACAAAAATAAATGGAGCCAATAGCATTCCTTTCTTTTGAGGTTTAGGTCTTAGAAATTTTACTTACATTATTCATAATTATAATTTTATATTTAAATTTGTTAAGACTTTGATTGTAAGGCTTGCAAAATGAATATATGATTAGTTACGTAGATTTTGTGTTTGACTCCCTTTTTTGTTATTTTTAATTCTACTTTATAAAATTTATAATTTTTTAATCAAATATATATTTTAATTGGTTAAATAGCATAAACTCACTAGTTTAGGAGCAAATAATTACTTCCCTTCACGCGAGTTTTCAATATTACGAATCTTACCAGAATTTGGACTTCGAATACATATGTATCTGGCGAGTCTAGATAAATCTCGTATACATGGGTTGAAATTAAGTGTAATTTGTTTTAGATACATTGTATCAAGATGGATTCACATGTATCTGACTTTCTCCCTCGCCTCTCTCCTATCTCAATCGTCCTCTGTATGTATTGGTATTTCATATAGTATATGGAATGTATCTATATATGTATCAGATACATAGACTATCTCTCTCGCCTCCTCTTATTATCTCGCTCGCCTCTTTCCTATTTCAGTGTATCTGGTAGCAAAATACATGTATCTAAGTGTATCTGACTTAAAATCTGGTATAAAATTATTAATTGGTGAGAAAACTATAATTTTTTCAAACTACATGGAGAATTGGTAAATATAATAAAAAAAATAAAATGGATCCTGAAACTGCCCAAGCCTACCCCCTCGCTCAAGCCTTACGGGTCGACAGACTTATGTGGGCTAAGTTAAAAGGCCTCATTTTTAGATGGGCTCTAAAATTTTTAGCTTATCTATCAAATCATGATGAGAGCTAGATCAGTGCCAAGCCCATATTTCTGACTCTACTACTTTCTTTGTTCTTTGTACATCCCTTAATAGTTCGGGCGATGCAACGTGGCCCGTGGGCGGTGGTGTCAGGGTGTCCCTTAGTTGAAAAATTACACTAAATATTTATATAGGTATATATTTATATAGGTTGAATTTTATTTTATATTGGTATATATAGTATTTTGAACTCTCTTAAAATTAAATCTAAAACGTATAGTACAATGACAAGGATATGCTCAAAACTTACATGGAACCCAGGTTGAATAAAATGGAGGATGGTTCACTAGAGAGGAGACAGATCCTGAATGGATCTGCTCTATTGACCTCATTAAACTCAATTTAGATTATTTGCTTGATGATCAGGATTAGTAAAAGTTTAATCATAAAATTGTTCAAGATGTGATCGACGCTAAATAAGGACTGACGACATAATAAATTAATGCACGCTCCAAATCACCAGATATTATATATATAGTAACATAGAAATTAGAATACACCTCATAATTGCGTACAAGATGAATAGGAGAGAAAGAAAGATTTTATTTGTAACGTGGAGCTTTAAGGAGTAGATGCATGGAATATTAAAATTTGTAGAGTCAATAATGCATACGGAAAAAGAGGATCAAATCACATGTGAATTACCTGGAATATGGAAGGAGAAAAAAAAGAACTTGTTCTAACTAACACCATTTAAGATCCGAACAAGAGTTGAAATCCAGAGTTCAACTTTTCACATGACATATTATAGAATATTTTAATGCATTTGACATATCATTAATTTAAACTGTGTCAAATACGAAGTAAAAAGATCGTTACATGCAATTAAGTGACCAGACGGATGTGTAAATCTTCTTTACACCATATATCGTGTGCATGGAACTTAAACTCCGGTATAAATATGCCTTCACCTAGACATAGGTGTGTTAAAAAGCTATAAGCCTTTAATTAAGCAGCTATACAGTATGGGTAGGAGTTTTGTAGGTGCAGTATTGATCACCTTTCTAGTACTGTTGCAACATCCTATAGCTTGTGTAGCTACTAAACGAAAGACGGTAACAATTTTAAGCATCGATGGAGGTGGCATTAGAGGCATTATTCCTGGCACTATTCTTGCATTCCTTGAATCTAAACTTCAGGTATATTTACATACGTATTCGTCAACAATTTTATCTACTCATATATAATTGCATGCAATGATACACGAGACTTTTTTTTTTCCAGAGGAGGAGCTAGGTGGGGGTTTATGGGTTCGGACGAACCAGTAGCTTTTATGTAGATCCTATATATATATATATATATTAACTTGTGAACCCCTAAAAATTGATTGACAGTTCGATGGTAAGGAAGGGACCGTGAAAATGTTTTTCTTACTAGAGTTGTGGGTTTGAACTTCCTCTCTTTTATAAAAAAAAAAAGGAAATTTAGAATCCAAACTCTTAATCCTGGTTTCGCCTCTGTTTTTGGCTATGTCGTTAGGAACTTGATGGACCGAATGCAAGAATTGCAGATTATTTTGATGTGGTAGCTGGTACAAGTACAGGTGGACTTGTAACCACAATGCTCACAGCTCCAAACAAGGATAATCGCCCTTTATATGCTGCAAAAGACATTAACAACTTCTACATGGAACACGGCCCTAAAATCTTTCCTCAGAGCAGGTACTTACAATAATTGATAATCTTGTTAGTGTTTCTTAATTTTTATAAGTTCAATTGCTGCACACTAAAAGGCGAATTCAGTATTTAAAATTGGTGGATTCAACTAAGCTTCAAGGTTCTCACTTATTTATGTTTGATGACGAAAATTCAAAGTTCAGTTACATTAATTGTATCGATCAAGACTTTACTGATGACAGATTTTTATATATGTGAAATGTTGAAGCCGCAACAACTTCATGAAGAAGATGTTAAATTTATTTGGTGGACCAAAGTATGATGGCAAATACCTGAGATCGTTGGTTAAGTCGGAACTAGGCAATCTGACTATGAAGCAAACATTGACTCATACACTTATTCCAACTTTTGATATCAAACGCCTTCAACCCATCATTTTCACTACTACTGATGTATGTTCACTATTAATTATGATTTACTCAATTCATGTCTACATATTAATAATATCCATATAAATATGTACACTGAGCAGGCCAGAGCAAGTGTGTCTAAGAATGCACGCCTATCAGACGTTTCTCTTGGTACTTCAGCAGCACCCACTTATTTCCCTGTACGTTATTTTGAGACTAAGGATGGTCAAGGCAAAATACGTACATTTGATCTTGTTGATGGAGGTGTAGCTGCAAATAATCCTGTGAGTATTTATTTGAATAAGAGCACACTGTTTGTTTTAATTTTCAAAAGGTCTCATACCATTAAGAGTATTCAACATGAAACTAAATTCGTACACCCAACAATATATCAAATTGTTTGTAAGAATTCAGATATTTGAACTACAATTAGTATTCTTTGAATATACTGGCAGACTCTACTAGCAATTACTCACATTTCAAGAGAAATCATGACGAGAAGACTGAAATATGAGGATATGAAAACCGTGGACTGCAAGAAAATGCTGGTTCTGTCACTTGGCGCTGGCACAGGCAAGAATAAAGAAAAGTACAATGCTGCAACAGCTTCAAAATGGGGCCTTCTTAGTTGGATGTACAATCATGGTGCCACTCCATTGCTAGACATTTTTACTGATGCAATTACTGATATTGTGGATATACATGTTTCAACCATGTTTCAGTCCATTCACAACCAGAAGAATTACCTCAGAATTCAGGTTCGGTCATCAACTTGAAGTTATAAGCATTCCTCTTGACGGTCAAACTGATACGTGTCAGATTCTTCAAAAGTAAGGCATATTTGAAGGATCTGACATAAACACAATAATATTTTTGGGAAGTACGAGCAACATAACTTAACACACACATATATATATGTTTTTCATGATAACTTAATAAATTTGTACAGAATGATAGTATGATCGGGGAGGCGGCATCAGTGGATATTTCAACCATAGAAAACATGCAGACACTTGTGCAGACTGGTAAAGATCTACTGAAGAAGCCTGTGTCAAGGGTCAACTTGGAGACGGGCCGTGTTGAAGCAGTTCGTGGGGAAGGCACCAACGAAGAAGCTCTTACTCGCTTTGCGAAGTTGCTTTCAGAGGAAAGAAAGTTTCGACGATTAGGGACAGCTTAGTGATATTAAACTTAAAAAAATAATTGTTTGAACATTATTTTTCTAAGGGTTTGAGATGCAATTTCATCTTAGTTCGTTATCGTCTAATTGTTTTAGATTGAGAACTTGTTCCTGTAGAACACTTTATCAAAGCTTTGCTTTGTTGAATTCATTCAGCTGCTTTACATTACACAGCTATCAAAAAGTACTTGAAAGATTGATAGATAACTCATACAGCTTTCAAAGGGCTTCAATATCTTTGAATTTTGTCATTGTATCGGTATAGTTGTCGTTGTAGCTCCATTTTTGTTATTAATACACAAAAGATTAGATCCAAGGTCTGCAGGGAAATTTCCCTGGACTATAAACATATCTTCCTCTCAAGTTCTAAACATTGAGGAGGGAGAGTACCTCGTGGCTCCAACTCCTTATGCCTCCAAGCTATCTACAGAGCACATTGAGAAAGGTCTGTGATGTATTTACGAGTCGAGCTCTCTTTAGAAAACCACATCAATAAAGATGAGTACTCCTATTTAGAACTTCGGAAGATAATGTAGCTTGCTTCCAAGCCACTGCACCACATGGGCATGTACTCATAGTAGTCGGCCCAGAATGCTTCTGTACTTTAATGGGAATGAACAGGGGACGACCATGGGAGTTGATCGAGCAAAATAACACAGTCCCAATGCTATGGTAGAATATGGATGATGTTGTTGCTGTCGTGTAGGCATAAAGCTTAGGGGCAGGCAGACATTAAAGTGAATTTGCCCATTTGAGGACTCCATTCTTTAGATCACAATTTGTACTTCTTTGCCAGATCTTTCCGAGTGCTATCTTTCTAATGATACATGCACCACATCAAGTTTATAACTTAGCTGCTCTCTTTGAGAATGCAACTTTTCCTGTCAAAGGTATACTATGGGATGAAGAAACACAACCAGCAAAAGAGGAAAGGGAAGAAAGGGACTGAATATACATACTGTTAGTCTTATCCCGTCAAGTTGCTGGACAAAAGAAGGAACTTCTGGCTGATGCGACATTCTAACAAATGGATGTTCTAGCAACATGCTAGCTGATGGCCTCTCTGCTGGATTTCTACGGAAACAACAATGCAAAAAATCTTTCCCTTCTAGTGATAATGTTTCAGGTATTGGTGGGGTATCTTTTAGAACCTTGAACATTGCTGCAGCCTGCCATAGTTAAATTAATTGATAGAATCAAAGATTTGTAAGTTTAAGAGTTTAAAGATAGCACTGCATGGTCTTGCTCTTAGGTGAAATTTTACATAAAAAGCTTGCACAAGTAGAGTATAAACAATACTCAAGTGGCCATGATTTTCAGCTGCTTGACATTCCTCCAATTCTGATGTTGAAAAGTTCATAAAACAATTAATCATTTGATAATTCGTAATTTGATTTTGAGTTTTGACCAAAGGCAAATCTAAACATAGTGAAAGATATCGTTAACTCTGTTAGATGGCCAATGACAAAAATAAAGGTACATTGGGAGAAATCAGATATTTGATTACACTAATGCCCAGGTCTAATGGAATACCAACTGCACAGCTAGAGTAACAAATTCATATGACTCCTCGACACAAGAAAATGTAGCATGATTAGTTTTTATTTGCTAAGTTCTTGGAGCCATGTGAATCTAAGAGGGCATGTCAAGAAATGGAACTCTGCCAGGAAAGATCACGTACGAGCTAAAAAATGCAAAAATAAAGTCCTTACAGCTTCATATTCACTCCAAGGAGGTTTGCCATTCAGCATCTCAATTATAGTACAACCCAAACTCCATATATCAATAGCTAAGGCAAGATCGCTACTATTATCTCTCTGCATAACAGAGTGCAAAAGCTGCAGGAAACAGAAAACATAAGCTGTGGGAGGTGATAAAACATAATTAGAAAGATGTGCTGTTGAAGGGAAGTACCTCAGGAGCCATCCAATATGGACTTCCTTTTAAAGAGAGATTAGCTGAGTGCCCGTTTAGCTGCATAACAAGACTTGAGGTTCAAAGAAAAATATAACGCTAGCAAAAGTCTGGTAACAGCCAGTTTGTTAGTCTAAGATCTTTTGATTATACATCTTAGAGTGACGACATACAAAAATTGTTACAACTGTTGTTGTTTTTCTGAATATAACATTCTTGTTTTACATAGTAGCACATGAGAATGTTTTGACTCCAAAAAAAACATTTACAGCTATAATTACAAAAAAAAAAAAAGAGGTTTAAAACGCCCATATTTCTCCACAGTGCTAAAGATGAAGCATCTAAAAACGCATATTAACAGTCCGCTACGAGGAGATTTACTATGTAAAGCACAAAGATCTATGGATCAATCATTACATTCTACTAAATAGAACATTCTTTACTTAAAAAAACTGCAAACTGAAAAATGATATGAGATAGAGTTACGTACATGCTTAGCCATCCCAAAGTCTGCAAGCTTGACAACCCCATATGCATCAACAAGCAAATTTGCCCCTTTAATGTCCCTATACAAGAAAATAATTCAAAAATGGTTCTTCAGAGGGTTCTATATCTTATTTCTATCATAGTTGAATATCTGACTATTACCTGTGAATGGTCTTTTTACTGTGCAAGTAAGCTAACCCGCAAAGAATATGGCGAGTGAAATTCCTCACAATAGATTCTGTAATTTCCCCACAATGGTCTTGGATAAATTTATTGATAGAACCAGGATGAACATATTCTAGATAAATGTAAAACCGGTCATCAACCTGCAATATCAAAGAATAAAACACAATCACAGAACAGTATGTACAAGGATGAATCAAGTTTATAACTCGTAACAAATTCTTACTATTTCACTGCCATAATACTGGACAATGTTTGGGTGCTTGAGCTGGCTGAGAACGTTGATTTCCTGGACCAACATAAAGAATAAATGTTGAAAACATTTCAAGCTTGAAACTTATGGGGCAAAGATAATGTTCTGCATTGAAATGACATTCAGCTTCAAGTACTCATGAAAATAGCTAGGCAACTGCTCTGTCAAATGATATTAAGGTTTGATCATTCATGAATCATGACCATTATGCTCGATAACTGGTGCTTCTAATTCTGAGCATGCTTTCAATTCATCAGTTAAGAGGCAGACAATTGAGATTTTGAATATTCTAAACCATAGTGACTACTTTAACCAATCAAGCAAGTTGTATATCTATATATCTAACCAAAAACATGGATATGTAAAACTAATATCCTGAGAAAGCCAGAAAAATGATTTTCTGTTGCAGGTTAAAGTGAAAAGGTTTGGAATCTCCACTCATTAATTTGTAACTTAAAGCTGTTAATCCTCAACATAGTTTTCAGTAAGTTAAGACTGTTAGTATGTTCTATTTACCGTACAAAGCCTTCATTTTCTCCCTTAATTGCATCCTTTCAGTTCCTTTATTGGCCAAGCTTTTTTGTAATTGAAATATCACAATTCACATGCAATAATGCAGATAAACCCCAAACTTCAAATATTTCAGCCACTTCAAGCAATGCAGGAGTGCCCATTAATGATTTTTAATAACACCAATCAAAATCTATACAGAGAATCCAAGTATTCAAGGATTATGAAACAAAGACAGTGAAGGAAATCTGACCTGTTCTAGCTGCCTTATAGACTCAGCAGATTTTGGGTCATCTGGTAATAATTCAACTTCTTTCAATGCACATAAAGCTCCTGTCTCTCTGGTTAAGATCATAGTGTTACATTAGAAAATATTGAAGGATTTAAGATATATGCACTGGTAGTGTTAAAGAATAATTTATACTATCAGCATGTTATAGCATCATATAGACATGCAACGACATCCATCAACAAGATTTATATACCTGTTTGATGCTACGTAAACACTTCCAAATGTCCCACGTCCAATAAGCTTTCCTTTTTTCCACTGTCCTTTAATAGGTGATATATCTGCTTTAGGGGTAGGTGGTGAAACGGGAGGGGTAGCTAGAGGAGGAAGGGGTAAAGGATGGACATTGCCTTGAGCGCAATTCTCACGACGCGCCATTGGGCACTGATCATTTGGTAGTGGATGATGTAAAGGTGAAGTAGGTCCACTTGGACTCCTGGATCTTCTCTGAGGACTTAATTTTGGACTGTGAAGAGGAGAGTTATCAACACTAAAAGCATGATTATAAGAGAAGCCTAAACCATGAGGGGCATCTGAAGGAGGCATTTCAGGGGCAGACCAAACTTGAAAAACACTAGGAGGTGTGACGAAAAGAGGACTCGTTGTATGATCACCACTTTTCAGTTGGCTATGTGAAGGACTTGCATAAGGACTAGTTGGAGCACTAGTCCAAAAGTCAGGAGGGATTCTTTCTGGGACAAGCAGCATCCGAGGTGGCATCTTCCTGGACAATGGAGTTGCTGAGTGCTCTGTTCTCTTTCGAGCATCTTGGTTTAATAATCTGCTGAAATATCAAACAAAGAACAAAATCATTAGGTCTACATAATCTGAAACCTACAATATATGACTACAACAACAACATACCCAGTTTAATCCCACAAGTGAGGTCCGGGCCGGGTAAAGTGTATCCAGACCTTACCCCTACCTTGTGCAAGCAGTGAGGTTGTTTCAGATAGACAATGGACTCAAGGAAAACATAAACACAACATTTATGGAAACATAAGCAGTAACATTAGCAGGATAGTAAGAAACCCGCAGCATAAGAGACAACAAGTAGGTCAATACAATAAATGACTACATGAGTGCTAATTGCCAGCTACGCCTAGAGAAAAAGAAAATTGTTCTTGTGGATCAACTACCTCTCGATTTCAAATTAGACAAATTCAGTCACTAAAAGAATCAAGAAACTGTTCAAAACATGATGACCCTCAACCAACTACAACCCTAAGGATTTGATTGTAAAATGCACAAATTTATTCATTTGAATAAGAAATTTAGAGACCTAATAATTCGAAGATTAACATAGAAAGAAGAGTTTCTGGATTTACACAAATATAATTGAAACTTGAGCAATTTGAGCAAAATAAGAAACAATTACGGCAAATATTGAGAAATTTTCACATACCCCTCTCGTGTTGCTCCGCCATTGAAAGCATCCATCCTTTCTCTTTCTGTTTCCTCTCCAGCTTTATGATGCGAAATTCCTTCCCTAGGCGAAGGAAGTGGGACGCTGGGGGCTTGAACCAAATTAGGATGTTGACGGAGCATCACGTGTAATTCCGGCAAAGGAAGGGGTTGCGGCGGCGGACGTCCCTCCGGTGGAGAACTTTCATACGAATACTGAGAATGCCAGTCATCTCCGACGTCGACATTGTGGTCCCCACCACGGTGTTGGGGCTTCTTCTTCTTACGGGATATTTGGCGTATACGGCTACGGGTGCCGAAGAGAGCTGATTTCAGGACGGAACCAACGCCCCCGCGCGTGACGATCACGCTATCATCGGAATGAACCTTTCTGTCGGAGGTAGAGGCACGGGTGGAAGATGAGAAGCTCGGCCACCAATGCATTGCATGCATTTGACGTGACACAGCCAGAAATTCTAATATGAAGTTGAAAAAATCACCCTATTACCTAAATTAATTTTTGAATGGCCTTGAAATCAAGGCCATTCAAAAAATTTATATATACAAAGGACAAAGATATAAAAAAAAATTCACTAAATTAACATTCTGCATACACCTAACTCCGCCCTGATTGCATTTGTGATCGTTGAGATCACATAATGCGTTGCATGCATGAAATGATCAATTGAAATTCAAGGCCATGAAGATGTGGTTAGAGGAAACCTAAAAATGGTATTAACGGTTTAATCTCAGACTAATATGATAAAACCTGATAGTTATTGAAGAACAAAGATAGATCAAACTCCAAAATAAATGAATTTTATTTGAATGCCTCGTCAATCATAAATAAGTTGAATTAGCTATATATATAAATTTTAAATATGGCGTAGAAAATAATATTGAAGAAAGAATAGCACTGAATCGAGGAGAAGGAAGGAAGGAAGAGAAGACAAGGAAATTGTCGTCCTCCTTGAATCACCGGAAAAAATGAAGAAGGGAGAGAACACAAAGGAGTTGTTGTCCTCCTTGAGTTACCGTAAAAATTGAGAAGGAAGGAGACAATAAACAGAATTAAATGTAAAAGGTCTATAGAATAAGAGGGGGAAAATTTAGCACGCTGACAACAAACGTAAAGGGGGGTCGAGACAACTATATCAATCCTACGGTCAAACTAATAAACATGCACACCAATTCAATTTCTTTTAGTATTTAGTATCTATCTTCTTCTAGAGCATTTCCTTTTCTGGCTAAAGTCAAATACATTAGACTACATTTTGTACGTATATATATGTTTAGGTCATGGTTTACAAATATTTTTTGGTACGGAATTTAAAAAAATAAAGAAAAGTTTTTAATTTTGTTGTTTTCAATATGTCCTTTAATTTTTTAGCAAACATATGAAAATTGAAATTAAATGCTGTAAAAAAGGAGTTATTCTTTTTTAAATAGATAAAAAAAAATCATTCTAAAGTATTATTTCCACGTAGTTGACTACTTTTACTATGAAGACCAACGCGGACCCACCTCATTAACCTTAAACTGATTACTTTAATTCAATCTTACTAGCCCTATTTTCTTCCTTTTTCATAGTATTATTTTTTCTGTGTGTTCTTTTGCGGTACTTAATTAGGATCAAATATAAAGGCTCGTAAACTATTAAGTCATTTGTTAATCACTAAAGGAGCAAACATGCATCCCAAATTAATTATGGGTCGTTTGGCGTAATAGATAAAAATAAATAGTCATGGGATAAGAAAATAGTGATGTGATACAAAATTTGTGTCTTGTTTAGTTGTCATGTTTGGGATAATTTATACCATAGTGATGGGATAAGTTATCACATATATATGATGCGATAAGTTATCTAGGATAGCTAATTCCAGGATAACTAATCTGTGATAACTTGTTCTCAACCAAACGAGCCCTTAGAAAAAGCTTCACTGAAATTAAAATGGGAAAATGATCATTATATTTGGTGATTCTTTTTATTATGTTTATAATGTGTTCATAATGGAGTAACCCTACATCCAGAGGCGGACCCACATGCATCCGTGAGGGTACACGTGCACCCGATAACTTTTTTAAAAAAATCGTATATATATGTATGGATAGTTGATAAAATGATAATATATTTGATTGTGCACCCTTATAACAAAAACTCGCTTGGGTGCATTGGTCAAAGTCGCCATTTCAGACTATGACCACGTGAGTTCGAATCTTGCGAAGGCTTATTTTATTTCCTTTTTTTTTACTTTAAAATCAGTTTTTTCTTTACAATTAACCCTTTTTAAAAATTGTTTTTTATTAAAACTCGTTTTTGCCACTTCATTGGCCCCGCCCCCATTCTTAACCACCTTTTTTTGCCATCTCATATGACCCATTCCTTTCTTAATTGAAATTAAATACAAATAAAAATTCTAACACAATTCTAAACAAAATATAAGACTGCTAGAAAATTTACAACTTACAAGTATTTTTCACTGCATAATTGAAAATCTTACCCCCAATTATCTCGCATAAATTGGTAAGTTCTTCTTTACAAGCGTATTTTTTTGTAAGAATTTGTTGTTGATTCTTGTGATTTGAAATAGATAGATTTTTGACGAAACACTATTCTTCTCAATCAAGTGCTAGTTTTAGAGACAATTCTTCATGAGTTTGATTTGCAATCACTTAAATCGGATCCTGGAGAAAGAATATCTATTGATAAATATTGCCCTAGAATACGAATACGAGATGAAGTGAGAAGACACTATATTCAACAAGGGCATTGTCAACCAGATATTAATGATAATGAATATCCTCAAACTCGATTCGAAACGAAAATGTGTCGATTTTGTAAGACATGATTTAAGGGCTCATACTCTAGATGGTTTGAGTTATTTATTCAAAATTCTAAAAGATTCTTGATAAAAAGTTGATTGTTCTTCTTTTAATATTTTAAATTTTTTTAATTATAATGTTCAATATTGGTTAAAGTAAAATAAAATAATAAAATTCACTATTAAAATTTATTGGGGCCTCAAAATTTTGAAGGCCTAAGCAAGGCGCTTTGCTAACCTTACTCTTAACCACTTTAGCCTTACCCTTGAGGCCACTCTTAGTGGTGCCTGCCTATCTTCAAATCATGGATTCGCACCTGTCTACTATTTTATTTCTTTTTGTCCTGTAGTAGCACAAATGAAAAAGGAAATTGCAGCATCTCAAGGGGACAAAGATTTAATTTGTACGGCATAATACGGAATAAAGAGAAACAAAATGTGATTCTGGTCTACCAAAAAGCGCTTCCATTATTAATTGCATAGACTAATTGTTCTGCAGTCACCACACACAAAAAGAAAGACCATAATCTATACACTTTAGTTTTCAATTGACTCGGTACTAGTGCTCATTTGCTCTAGTAAAACATTGTTGCCAAGTAGGGCTGTGTATCGGTCGGTTCAGTTAGATTTATAAAATTATTGGGTTTTTTTATCGGTTATCAATTTGTAATCATGTTAAACCGTTATGGAACCGTTAAGATATCTGTTTATCGGTTCGGTTATCGGGTTAACCGTTAACAGTTCACACAATTTTCATTGAGAATTACTAATGGACTAATCACTAATTAACAATACGCAGTAGCCAGTAGTCACCGATGAACTTTTCCTGTTAGTTTATTACTACATAAAACACTAAATCAAACTCCATATTAACATGGATAGAGATGTCAATATTGCCAAATTGGCAAACTCAAAATGATTCCTCATAACAACCAAGTCAATTTCGATATGAACTATAAAGAGAAACCATTACAGCACTACTAACGAAAACCATTAATGACCATGAGACCATTACTAATAAAAACGTTTTCATTGCAAATTGTAGTATTGCAATATTGCAGACATATCTCACTGTAATGAGAGGATAAAAACAAAGACTTAAAGTAAGGAACCAACCATTTGAAACTCAATTTAGACACTTAGAGAATGATATTCAATATAACTCGCCGGTGTGGGAGCAGTGATAGTGAATCAATGAGTAATATCGCTACTTTGGAATATTATTGTGAAATTTGAGTGTCAACTATAAAGTCACTATGAAAAGTTTGAAGATTGAAGTGTAAACCCTAAAGGTTAAAAATGCCTAAGGCCTTAAATTATATAAATGTAATTAATTAAACTTCTTATCGGGTTATAATCGAGGCATCCGATTAGAAATATGGCCAAATCGAGACCCGAACCGATAAGCCAAAAAAATTCTTTGCAAACTTTTCACAAAAATATTTTGACGCAATAGCTCAACTATTTAATATTATTTTTGAAAAGAAGAAGAAGAGTTAATGGTGTTTTAGCAAAGAAATCTTTTTTGATGTTTTAGCAAAAGAATTTTATTGCAAAGGAAGTGAACAAATAAATAAAGTGTGAAGGGTATTTTTGTAAACATATATTTTTAATAGAAATTATGCAAGATTTGTTATTTCTAATACATCAAACCAAACAATGTATAAGAAATAATGCTTGCAGAACTAATGCAAGCACTACTAATACAAGCATTACTAATACACCCTATTTTGCATTGTTCTTATACACTCTACCAAAATTATAAATAATTATATATTGATTATATACTGTATATTGGAATTTTATTGGGCCGTTGAGTAGTAGTGTAAGAATAAGGATCCTCGTATACAATAAAATTGGGCCATGGCTGCAGGGGAAGTGTAAAAAATAGCCGTTTTTGGGATCCTATTTAAAGATGAGAATAGCTAAAGTTCACAAAAGAAAAAAGGTTAAAGTTTAGCCGTTTCAGAATAAATTCAGATTTGTAAAGACTGAAGTTGAAAATTGCAGGTCTAAGATTTCAATTTCAGACATATGAGTCTGAAATAGGACTTCAAAAAAGCCTAACTTTAAACTTGTGTATCTAGTTTGACCTTCAATTTTAATCAAATTCATGAATATCATGTCTGAAGTTAAACTTTTGGCATAACTATTGAAACTTACATTACTATTACGCTTGCATAAACTTTGTACACAAAAAATTCAACAATTCTAGATTAGAAGATATTTCTAGCATGCTTAGAACTGTATACATACTTATTTACGAATAAGGGTACTTAACTTAAAGTATTTTTAAAGCAGCCAAAAGGTACATGATATTTAAAAAGCAAAACTTAAACTTCTCCTCAACAAATGAGAATATGACATATACTTCGAAACAAGTACTAGAATGGATCGCCCATGTGTTGTTTATGTCTGATTTGCTATTTTAAATTCCCTAAGAACTAAGAAGAAAGATAATCGTCTAATTTTTTTTTGTTGATAATTTTCAAAATTGGATATTATTTAAACAGTGACATCATGATCGGCTAACTCCTACCTGGTGTCATTCCTACTAAATAATACGGAAAAGATAAGACGTGTATTTCAGTAATTTTTACAAATAATTGTACTACTATAAGTTATTTAGGTATCCTTCATTTCCCTTGTATTTA